CTTTCCTCCTTCTCCCCCCCCCTCTCTCTCTCTCTCTCTTGGAACAATGCTCGAACGAAATAACATTTATTCTAGCACCGCTTGCGAAGTTCAAAAGCCGCCTCGTGCCGCGTTCATTATAAATGGATTAAATCGTTGAACGCGCGTGAGCGTCGCAATTTTCAAAAGATAAATCCTTGTTAGATGAGAATGCAGATCGCGGGGCGTAACGATGAAGGAAGCAATTTACAAGCGATTCGAATCCAATCGGCGACGGAGATGAAAAAAGAACGGAGGAGAGACAGGGAGAGACAGGGGGGGGGGCGAGGGAAGAGGAGAATCGCGTCGGCGATTTGTTAAAGATAAATCTCCGTTCCGTGAAAAAAAAAAGAGAAAAAGAAGAAGAAGAGGAACTAGAGAGGAGAGAAAGATGAAAGCAACGATTCACGAGTTGTTCGAATTGAATCGGACACGAGGTGGATAGGTGGGGGGGAAGAAATGAGAAAAAAGAAAGGGAGGGCGAGGAGATCTTTGACGGACGATCCACGGTGAAATCACGATTCAGCTCGTTCCTCACGTGATACGTAGCTGAAGAAACGGTCACCGGGGGTGTATTGTTCACGCAAGAAGCTCATTTCCCGGCAACCACTTCCTGGGATCCTGCGGTGTTCAGAAACGCCGCATGGAACACCCGTGATAGTCGGTCTCTGTTGTACGTAGCACGAAACTTTCTATATATCCTTCTTCCTGTGTACCTTCATGGAATACACGTGTGTATACACACATACGTGTCTTCGTGTGAACACGCACGAACACACGATCACGTTTTATTAATATTGTACAGGTGTAACACAGGGTGTAACAATTCGTTTAAGTTGAACGTCTGAACTTCGTTTCCGATGCTGTTGAAAGTGAAGAGAAGAAAGAAAATGACTAAGAAGAGTTTGCGATTCCGTATGTTGCATTGTAAAAAAACAGATGTTTACGTGCAGGCAAATGACAATGACCTTGGAATGAAATTCAGAACGACCTTGCAGGAACCGTTCTTTTGTCATCACTCTCTAAAACCATATAAACTTCTCTCATATTAGTCATTTTTTCTTACTTTCAATAGCAGCGAAGATAATTGAAATGTTCAACTTAACTCAAACAACACCCGGTACATGGTATTTCATCTGAAACAGGCCACCTGAGTATCTTATTCTGTTGTGACGATAGAACAAATATTTCGCATGCAATTTGAGTGGTATCAAAGGACGAATACGCTGCAAAGAGTATTTCTGTTGCAGGATCATGTTCTTTTTTTAAGTTTTCAAGGTCACCCATGTTTTTCTGCACATGAATGTGTATTATTTCTTTTTGCAGATTTGCAGCTGATGTTAAAATGCGTTCAGAGGTGTACAATAACATGACCTTGAGGCAATATTTGTCTCGCGAAATTAAACTTTGAACTGAATTAAATCAGCAAAGCAAGCAACTTGCTTTGGTGATTTTGTAAAGTCTCTTGCAAGTGATTTTAAAGATTTGCACAATCTTGAATAATTAAATAACGTCGTCTCGTTTCGCCGTATAAGTCGATAAATTATCCACCGAGTAAAATCTTGCGAATACTTGGATATAGAAAAAAAGAAGCAAAGCTGTTCTTAAAAGAAGATTGATATTTCCAGTTCTTCAGTCCCCTTCAATCCCAGTACGTTCACTTTTTCCAGTTCCATAAATCTCCCACACTAATCTGTTTACAGATTAAAACGGAATAGCCCGTTATAAAATGTGTCTGTATGCACGCAAGTGGCTACATTGTTCAAGGTAAATGCACGTTCGCCGGTCGCATAATAGAATTTAATTCCAATGTAGTCGGTGTACTCGAGCGAGGAACGTGTGTGACTGTAGCAGACGGCTCTAAAAATCCTGCCCGAGGCTCCCCCCCCCCCCCCAGCTTTCGCACCGAAAACATGTGGAACCTAGCACGACGAGCTGCTCGTTTCGAGAGCTTTTTTAGGTTATTTTGCTAGGTTCCCCTGGTATCCACCTAGGCGAATCACAATCCGACGCGGATACCTATCTCAATTGTTGTTTCCTCTGCTACGCCACGCGTTAATTCGCTTTGAATTTCTTCCAATCTCGATAAACGACGTTAAACTTTACGCTACACGTCCTTTGATCCCAGTTTCACAATGTTAATTCTGCATTAACCGTCCAAAACATCGATATTTTTTACTTTACTAACATTTTCCCTGAAAGTATCGTAATTATTATAAGAAAATAATTTTACGACAATATGGCGTCGATGTTAGGTTCTTGGAGTGAGAAAATGGCTAAATGATCAGGTACCGTCGATATAGAAGTTTACTGTCATGTTGAACGATATCTCGAAGGTGAAGAAGGTGTCATTAAGCTTCGGCGAGATCCAAAACACGACGGCACTCGTCACTTTTTCTTGGCAGAGTAAGTTTCTGACTCGACAACGAGCAACCGTGCATTTTCCTTCATGAGAAATTCACGAACCCTCTAACCTACTCTGTTTGAAAGCATGCAAGCTCACCGGCGTGACCGTGCGGCCAGCCACCTCCTTAGATTACGATATAAGGAATGGTTAACGCGATGTGGCGGTGCACGCACCTGATAGTACAAACCGCATATACATACATACATACGTATGCAACGCTTTCTTCTGACCCAGCTTTCATACAGACTGCATCGTAATTCATGATACGACCGAACCGGGGTGTTGTTTGATTCTTCGTGACAAAATAAATCGTAAATAGAGCAATTTCTCTGTGTATTCGTGTATTTTAATTTTTTTAACAGAAAAAAAAATTAGTTTAACAGATCGATTTCATTTGGTATTATAATACGATAGTTCCCGCGTAAATCTTGACACAAATTGTTATTTATGTTTTCAGGAAATGAGCGTTATCTAATTATTAATAATTTACAAATAGATAATATGGTTGACATTACTGAAACAATTTAGTTAATGCATGGATCACCTACCACGTTCGATATTATCTACCGCGATAACAAGCCATAACCAACAATCGATAACTATTCCGGCCGCACTAGTTATCCTTCATATGCATACAAAGATACACGCATTCCTTACAAGTACACACATTCTTCTACACTATATCCTTGTATTAAAGTGTATAGAGATTCATTGTTGTTACACCTTGCTACTCCGTTATCTCTATGATACTGGGTCAACTGCAAGACGAAGCGAAAGGAAAAGAACCGGATCGTGAACAAGACGAAAGAACGTAAACGAAGATGAAAGCAGGCAATAGCATAGAGTGAGTGAGAGAGAGAGAGAGAGGTTGGAAATAAAAAAAGATGGAAAAATAAAATTACACAAATGTTAATATTTACTTCTGATTCCACTCTATACAAACTTTGAAAATGTATTATGTTATTTGTAGATTTTGTGAAATGATAACAATTCTTATCAATTATCTATATTTTATTTGAGTTTGATTACTTGTTTACAAGTAATAACCAAAACTAGAAAATGTTCTTTTGTTTCATATACGTGGAATTCATACAATATTGCAAAAGCAGCATACGTATTTCAAATACTTGTCATGTCAAAAACATTTATTTATATGCATATATCTTAATAAATGATACACCATCACATTATCGGTTTTATCAAAAATTCTTAATTTATCTTATTTAATCAATATATTGTACAACTATATGAATAAATTATCTTTGAACAGTCACTATATCTATCATTTCTATTATTCACATTATTTTAATTACTTTAACTATTTCGAAACATCTTTTACGAACAAAACTTCGCAACGTAACCTAATCTTACTCGAATTTAATATATACCTAACCTATTTAGTGTAAGATACTTTCTGCATATGCCACAATGAGGCGCTGTAGTGCACTCTGTTATTTAACATATTTAACTATTACCTAGTATTATTTCAAATAAAGCGATTAATATTTGACAAAAAAATTAACAATTTTACATAAGAGAACACTTTTAACATGGAAACACGTCCGTATCGATATCAAAAGCTGTTTACACGAAAGATAAAATTGTATTAGGAATGGCGCCAAGGTGTCGCCATTTTCATGAAACTTTACCAAGACAGTAAATCGAGAAGGCTGTGGGGAGGAACAATTCCTCAAAGCGAGTGTGTGTGTCGGAAAAGTGTTGGAAAAATTGCCAAAAAGCAAGAATAATGTGCTGGTCGTAAGTATATCTCCCTTCAATGCTATTTTCCATCGGTTTGAATCGCTTTTGGGCACAAAACACGGGGCCTATGGCATGGGACTTCCGTTTAATGAACAGGAACAGGAAGTTCCTCACAATCTGAAATGGCAAAATAAAAACATCCTGTACTGAAGAAAATTTTGAAAAATATACACGCTACATTTCTGAACAAGTAGGCAAAGATGAATAAATTGTGTTAATTCTATCGAATTGAACTTCAAATTTTAATTTTGCGACCTACTTTCGATTCCGGCGTCTCAAGGTCGAACAACAGTGACGAATTACTAAGAGTGAAAAATGGAATGGTCACAACTAGCCCTTTTTATTTTTAAACAAATCCCGATGATATCAATTGTTATGGATCGTTTGATTTTAGTGAGCATCAGAAAGAAGGGGATTGAGTTGAATATACAAAAATGCAAGCAGAAAGTATTTGTACTAATGATATTGAGGGTCTGGACTCAGACACCCTTATTCCTGTACGTATGAGTGTAATTCATATAAATATGCTTTGCACAGTTATCTTTCAGGCACATTATTTCATCCATAGATATTTTTTAGGTTGAAATTCTTTCCTGTGATGTTTCTCACCGTGCACGATCTCAAGATGCCTTATCGATAGTGGAATTAGGAAAACAGTTACTTTTTAGTGCAAAGTATGGAGATACTGATACTGTCCGTGACCTAATGTGCAGAGGTGCACCATTTACCACAGATTGGGTATATATTTCAACAACAAAGCTATTTTATTAACAGATGTATAGTAAGTCATAACCACAACAGCATATTATTATTCCCTATTAGTTGGGCACAAGTGCATTACATTTTGCTGCACAGAATAATCATACAGAAACTGCAGAAGTTTTACTAAGAGCAGGAATTTCAAGAGATGCAAGAACAAAAGTGGATAGAACACCTTTACATATGGCTGCATATGAAGGCCATCACCAGATGGCACAATTACTTCTTAATTACGGTGCTGATGTTGACAGTAGAGATATGGTAATTAAAATAAAGCTGTATGAATAAACTTCATCTATAGTACACTTCACAGAAAACATGTTTACAGTTAAAAATGACTCCTTTACATTGGGCAGTGGAAAGAGAACACGTAGAAGTGATGCATGTTTTATTAGAACATGGAGCAGATGCAAATGCAACTAGTAAATTTGATAAAACTCCAATTAGTCTAGCATTGGAACATGATAGACTGGATTTGGTAGATATATTGCAACAAGAAAGAGAAATTGTAGGTATTAGAGCACATCAACAAAGTCAAGCAAACTCAGCAGAACTTGAAGTAGCAACTCATAATTTAATACAGTTAGAATCTGAAAGAGAAGAAGAACAAAAATTTGACCTACAGCAACAAGAATCACAACCAAGAAGAAAGGTTACACAAGGTTTGTTATTTGATGCTTAAATTATTACTTTAAAATATTGACAATGAAAAATCATTCATATTATGATTCTTTATTAAATATTTAGTACAAATGGGAAAAAAGCCACGGATGATCTTTCAACAAATTCATGTTGGACCAAATACTGATGTTGACCAAGAAAAAGAAGTTGAAGATGTAGATGAAATTACTAATGCAAATAATATTAATAGCGGTAAAAAACGGAAAGATGTTTCAGCTATTGGAGGAGTAAATAAACAATTTAGGTTATTAGAAGCACATGGAATCACAATGATACCTGTAGATAATGATTCATCCATTGTTGAAAATGCCATGGAAAGTGGGAGAACAGTCGTTTTGACTGGTATGAAATATTTAATAGCGACGTACAGATATTTTATCATTTATATTTACTGATATTAATAGTTTATTCTTACAGAGGCTGGTAAACTTGCGCTAAATTTAACAAGAAATTCCTCAATAGGAATGAAACGGCTTCATGTAACTGGAAAGAAAGGGACTCCTAGGAAAGTGATAGCTATTAGAGCAGATCAAATTTTAAATCATAATGCACCTACCCTTACATCCAGGGGGCCTAATATATTAAAAAGGTCTTCTGTGGATAATAAGGCTGGAAAATTATTCATTTCCTCTATTCCTAATACTACGCCTGTATCAACACTTACACAGTCTAGAAACGTAATATCTTCGTCAGAGGTATGTTAAATGAAAGCGCCAAGATTACAGCAAATTTATAATTCATAATTTTTAATGCATTTGAATTCATTGATTTTTTGATAGAACAAGATCGTTAGTTCTCCCACAAAAATGACAGAGCCAATAATTTTAAAATTAGATGATGATATAGAAGAAATTACCGAAGATGATGCAATAGATAATAATGAACCAGTTATGGATATTGCAGTACTGAATAGACAATTAGCGGAAGCACGAAGACAAGCAGCAGAGTATCGCAAACGACTTCAAAAAAAAGAAGAAGAAGCAGAAATATATAAACAACAACTTAAAAATATTACAGCGCAAAGAGCATCTAAGTGATTTTGTATGAGTATATATTTTGCATTAAGCTTCATTTTTAAGTAGCCCTGCTTTTTCTACAAAAACTTCTCATATATACAATTTTCAGCTTCGTACAAGAATTGATAGAAAATTGTATTATATTTTAATATATTTTCTTGCTCTATCTCATCACAAAGCATTATAGTAGTACTTATGCGAGCTTTTCATTACTAACTGCTTACTTTTGTAAAGACTATCTTACGAATCTGCAAGATTCTTCAACTGTACATCATTAATACTCTTTGTTTGTATCAGAAAATTCAATTTTCCGTTTTACAGGGCATAATCATGTACTATTTAATACATGTATGCTTTTAAAAAGCTGCATATTATATATACATACATATAATTGAGTCTGATTTATGCAGTAAACAAATATTTTTTTAAAATAAATGTAGATATTCAAAGCATTCATTTGCTTTCCACATAATGTCTTGCAATAGAACATAATCTCCTTTTTTATACAATATCGCTATCTTTACATCAGTTTCTCGCGTCAAATTAGATATTCATCTGTAAACATACTATTTATAATTTTAACTACTTCTGTTACTATAAGCTGCTAGTAATAAACAGTATTTCCTTTATTTTGGACGCTATATAAGCTTTTCATATTAAACACACGTTGTTAGGCAATACTGAAAAAAACAATATAAAAATTAAATAATAGATAATATAGGAAAACGCGTGTTTTTAAATTGTATATGATCTATTTTGTATATAGTGAATTTTTATATATATTATAAGGTTGCATAATAATTATAAAGCGATTATGCAGTATCGTTAAATAGCTAGGTCTACATGAAAAAAAAAAAAAATGAAGTAAATAGGAAGTTTCTATAAAAGTTTTAAAATTTTATGAACTTGAAATAATGAATATCTCTTAACTATTTATATTTTGTAGAACAAGGAGTTAATAATGTTTAGTGGAAAGAAAAGTGTATCGTGTATATTGATTACAGATAAAAGTCGGAGGAAAATAACAATTCGATGCTGTAATATGCTGCGCTGATTGAATACAATCATTTTTCCATTAGGTCGATGAGAAAGATATTTTTTATGGACAATTTATCTAAAGCACAAAATGTGGAAAGCAAATAATTGAAACGAATAAATTTTTAGCGATACAAAATAAAATTTACTTAACAAATAGATTTATGCATTATTTGGATAACTGTGGTTGTCACTTTGTATATTTTCGTACAAATAAGATTTCATTCCAAGTATTTCTCAATAGTTCCCGACTACATAAACACTTGAGCTCAGTTTAAATGTGTTTTGAAAGTATAAATAATAATCTTTTAATCTAACAGTCTACGTGGTGCTATGTATTCAAATAAAATCCCAATAATTGAAACATCTAGTTTAAGAACACACGGTAAATAGAATTGTGTACAGCAGACAAAAGAAAGTAGTCCACTCAGGTACAAATTATGGAGTGTATAATGTATGAAAGAAGATTGACAAGTGTGAAATATTATCAAATCCAACAAATTACATAATACTACGACTTTTTCTAGTAATATATGTTGTAAATATAAACGTTTATACATATGATGATAGAACTTGTTGATGCAAAGTTGAAAACTTTCATTCGAAAATAAACATTTTATATTTCACGAAATATTTGTATTATTATCTCATTTAATGCTGAACAGATAGTATGTACATAGCTTTGTAAAAAATAATTCAATTTGTTTAGCGATATTTCTGAAGAGGATGCAATAGGTTTGTGTGTAATATCCTTACATTGAATAATATTTCGATATATTACACTAAACTTATATAAATTTTAGACACTTGCATTATTTATAATACGAAGTGTTTGTGATAATTGTTATGAAATTATTAATAATCAGAATTTTATCATAATTTCACAAGACACAAGTACAATCGATAACCTCGTGAAAATGTCTCCCGCGCTATCGATTTGAAAGGACTCGTGAGGCAGCACTGTCTACCACGAAGTTTCATATTTTAAAAACTTTACTTATCGATCTGTTCGATGGATTTCCGTTTCATCTCCCGTTAGAAGGAATGAAAGTATTGCCGGGAATATTCCTTTATCATGAACCGCAAAGATGACTAGAAAACAATTGGTACAATGAAAGGAAAATTTTATTATTCATTAGTAACGTAATGGTGTCGACAAGAAGTCTTGTCTCTACGCTGCATATAGGTATACATTTGCTCGTGTTTCTGGCTCTCGCGATCGATCGCAGCAGTCGCACAATCTCAGCCTGCTGTGAAACGTCGGCGTGTTTACTGTGTTTGATGTATAGCGTCGTAGAGTAGAAGGCCATGTAAAGACTCCTATAAACAGTGTGCAAAATCGAAATGGAACAGAGTACACATTTGTGTGTGCTTAGTACCTCGCGTTTGTTTTGGTAATTCGTAAAGTAGGCGAGTGTTCGCGAGGATGGCTAACAGATAAAAAACAATGTTCGTTTCCTCTGTTTGGTACTGATCGATCGAATCGTTACTCCCGCTGTTCGAAATTGTGCGAAACTACGCAGAACTACGTCATTGAGCGACAGCGTCGTTCGGGGAAACCTTGAAATGTGCGCTTGACGTTCTATCGTAAACTTTTCGCGCTCTTTCGATATAATCGAAATTCAAAGGTACATCGAACGAATTTTACGTATTGACCGATTTATTGATCCGTACCAATGAAAAGAAGATTCGATATACGGCACGATACGACGACGGAAAGGTATAACGAGAGTAGGATATAGAAAAAGTTTGGTTAAAGAATAATCTCCTAAAGGCGGCTTGAAGACTGCAAGGTATATACTCGGGTATCGCGCCACGACAGGTTGAGAACCCTCCAAATGTTTCGTAGCCCGGACCCGAAGGCGATGTCCAGTGCGCCGCGGTGCAAGGAAGGGGGCTGTTTTAGTTGTCGTTGTGGTGGTTATTATTTCTGCGCTGCTGATATACCCAGTGATTCAATAGTAACGATTCTGGCTGATAGAACAGCGGGATACGAATAACGTGTCTGGGAAAGGCGATACCCCGCGATTACGTGCATCGTTATTATTGCGCCCGAAGGTGCGCGCGCGCGCGCGCGCGTGCACACATTACATCTTGTATATACTCGAGAGGCGCAACGATCTTCGCCTATGTGTCTGTGTGTTTGTGGTGAGCACCGTGATATGTGGAAAAGTGCAAAGTGAACGAATGAGAGAAGAGGCGCGCGAGAAAGTATTCGTTTTCATCGATGCCTAAAAGATATGAAAACAGAGTGGTAGTTTAAGCAACAACACAGATCGTGTGTTTTTTCTCACTCTGCCTTTCTCTCTCTATCTCTCTTCATTTGTCTCTTAGACGCGTGTGTTCGTTTGTGGTTTTGATGCGGGTGTGAGTGGCAGGTAGAACATCAAGGTAGCGAAAAGCAACGAAGCGGGAAGCGGCATCGAACCTTTTGAACATTGATTTCCCCATCATTTTCCCGACTGTATTAACTTTTTCATGTACGAGCTGTAACGCAGCGGTGACGTTCGAAAACAATTTCACGAAAATGCGATACGAGTTGTTAGGTCGCCTAGCGTAGTATATCGCCTAGCGGCGACGGGCCCAGAGAGAAGCGGCGGAAAAATGGCGTCCGATAACGAAGCCTCTTGCGCGAGTGACCCAAATTTCGCGGTGATTTGTTCGTTTCTCGAGTGCTTCGGCAAGTCCTGTGGCATCATTTATCCTGATATCGCGCGCCTTCAAGAGATGCTTGAAAACACACAGGAGGGTGAGTAAACTTGACATGCATACGTGTATGTGTAGGAAAGAGAGAGAGAATGACTGACCCGCCCCCGCGAGGCCAAAAGTCTCGCGTGTGCTATTAGTTTTATTTTGCGATTTCGTACATTTTTTCTTACAAATTTCTCGCCGTTCAATACCTTTCACTGTTTTTGAGCCATTTTCATGTAATCGTTTTCATTGAATAAACATGATACGAAATTTACGATTGTTTTCATCCCCTTTTTTTCATCGGAATTCAACACATTCTTACAGATCTTTGTCTTCTATTCGTTTGCTTTGTGTAGCAACAGTTAGCAATAGCAGTAGCTATCAAAAAGTTAGTAACGGTTAATGATCGTTTATATTAACATTCATTGTTACACTTAAATAATAGTATTTATTGACAGCTTAGTTCGATTTGCTATCCACTGTTGTTATTTTCTCCCGTGCTGCCACCTCCCTTGTTGTCAACGTCGGTTACACGTGATTACGAGTTATGAATCGCGCGTTGAATTAATAATTTGAAAACATACGTCTTAATGATTTTAATACTTTATTATAAAAATAATTATTTCATTGTTATCGTTAATTTTTTATTTATTATTTAGGTTTCCAAATTAAAATTTTACGCCTTTAAACACAAATTTTTAATCTTGTAATTTGTAATATCTTTTCATTAAAGACTTTTTAAAAATATATTTATAAGTTGTTTCTCCTTGATGTAAATATCTAGTATTTTTTACACATGTAATAATTTACATTTACTATTAACTTCTTTTTTTTAGTACCACAACAGTTGATAGATCTGCACATCAAATTATTACGGAAAACACGTAAAACAGTGTCACCAGAAAAGTGGGAACGAGCACTGGTTAAGTTCTGCCATACATATTCTAATCAAGATGGATGGGAACTTGAACGTTTTGGTTACAAGAAAGCCCGTATTGCTGTGAAGCTACGATTACTTAAAGTATAAACATTATTTTATTATGCTTTATAAACTATAAAAGTAAAAGTCTTAAAAAAATGCTTAAGTTCAAAGTTATGTACATCTAGTTGTACAGTTTTATTTTTCATGGTAAGTTTTTCTTATTGCAGGTTCTTTTAGAAACACAATTTGACCTAAATCAAAAGTTTAAAAATGAAGTAAACAAATTAGCAGCTACTGAGTTACGGGTGGAACCATTAGGAAGAGATAAAACTGGTTTAGCTTATTGGTATCAGCTTGATGAAGAGTGCAATATAAGGGTTTATAGAGAAGATTTAGATGAAGAAAATTGGGAACTTGTAGCTAAGTATGTGAATTTGAACTTTTTATTTTTTTAATGATTTCAGATATATTTGGATATAAATATTAAATTGATATTGTGTTATCAGGGATCGGGAAGGTGTAGTTAATCTTATAAATACCTTATCAAATGGAGAGATTGCAGCTATCCCAATTAATGAGGATAGTAATAGTTTAGAAATTTCTGAAAAACCTATTATTGATACGGGACAAATATCAATATCACCAAGTTTGGAGGATGAAACTATGCAAGAAAATGGTATTCATGCTGAAGGATCTGATGAAAAAGATTTAGAAAAGAGTGGAGGTGAAGATTTTGAGGATGAAAGAGAACTAGATGACACTAATGAAGGTGATAATGCTGAGGATGACATGGATGGTGAAGATGAAATAACCAATGATGAAAGTTCTAAACAAAATACAGAAGAAGAGGATTCTCAACAAACAATACACAGTGAAGTAATAGAATCAAATACTACTGAGATACTATCTTTAGCACCAGCATGTCCTTTAAAAACTTTAAATGGTAAAGTTGATTCATTATCAGAAAAAGAAACAATTTCACCTCAAGAGAAGGAACTAAATACCATTCAACAAACAATGGTCACTACTATTATATCTGATATTAAACCTGCAGAAATATATAAATCTGAAGAACATACAACAGTAAGTAGTTCAAAAGTTGATTCTGAAGAATCAATACCTCTTAAATCAATTGAAACACCTGTTATTACATCTCCTCTTAAATTGATAAATGTTTCTGAAATAAAACAATTTCATGAAGAAAAAATGATTACTGGAATAACACCAATTGGTAATCCATTGAATATAACAAAGAAACATAAACATGAAGATACAATAGATTCAATTATGAAACCACTAGACAAATTGTCTAGCAAAAGTAATTTTCCTTTTGTATCTATGGACATGCCAACAGCTCATAGTAAATTATCTGTTAAGCCAATAGATCAGCTAGCTGCAAACCTTGTGAGAATGCAATCTGAAAAACTTGAAAAACCGAGTGGAGCGAAATCATTAGAAAAAATAGCAGAAAATCTAGCAAGATCGGGGAGTATTGTGGGAAACGTAATAAATGGAGATGATGATAGATTACCACAAGATTTCTGTGCTAGAGGTCCAATAGAGAAACCTAATGTGCTTAGAGAACATAGAGGTATGGATTTGTCTACATCACCTAGAGGGTGGGAGAGTGCTAATGAGCAAAACAGACCAATGGATTTCTCTGGAATCGATTTATCTAGTCGAAAATTTAATAAATCTATGGATTTACCTTCTCCTGGGTACAGGACACAAGATTTTCAACATAGAGAAATGGATCTTAGTACGAAAAAATTAAACAAACCAGAAGTTACAAATTTATCATATGACGCTCGGGCTGTGATGATGCGTAATCATGCGATGGTAGCAGATTTAAGTAAAAGACAAATGTCGTTCCCCAGTTACGAAATGTCCTCTGCTCCATATCATAATGCAACAAGAATACCTAGTAAAGATGATCACAGATTACCAAATTATACAATACTTCCAGATCCAAGTAAAATTACGGCTTTAAGAATGAATGCAACACCGGTGAAACGCCCATTAGAAGCAGATGATATGCAACAGGACATGCTAAAAAGAATAAGGGCGGATGTAATACCAATTAGAGGATCCATGGATAAAAGGCCAATAATGAGTAGTAATTGGAGAGATGAAGTTGGTGAAGCCATTGAGGAACCAATGATGATGATTCAAGGTGAAGGGTCTGGTAGTGACTGTGATGCAGTAAATCCTGGTCTTGGAGAAGCAGTAGAAGAACCCATCATTTTTTTTTATGGAGAAGGATCTGGTGAAGAATGTCAAACAGGTAATCCTGGTGAGGATACATCAGCTGACAATAAAGAAAGCAACGAATCAAAAAACGAAGCTGATTCTGCTACTTCATCTTTATCACCAAATAAAAACTTAACTGAAGATAGCCTTATAAATGAAGTGTCTGCTGGATCATTAGTAACAAGCAAAAGCGCTATAAAATTAAACAGAAATTATCCTCAATCGAGTGTTAGTGTAAGAAATAATTGTCAAACTGTAGGCTCCACACAAGAAAAATCAAAATTCAAACCAACATTGGGCATTCAAATAATACCAAAAAATTCTAGCAGTCCTATAAAAAGGTTATCAAGATGGGATGTTGGGAAACCAGAAGAAAAACCAGAATGTGACAGTAGTATCATATCAAATGAAGAAGACATATCACAGAAAAAAGATGAAACTGAGTGTGAGGATTCCTCTAGCGAAAATCAAGACATTAAGGTAGATGGAAATTCATTAAGTACCGAAGGTACAGCATTACAAGAGAGGAATATAGAATCAGAAAGTTCACAAGAGATCACAGAAGAAAATTCTACAAAAGAAAAACAATGTTCTGTTTCTCAAGATTCCATGCAGTGTGACTCGTCTATATCTTTATGTCAAGCAGACACGTCGGAAACGCTCAAATTTTGTACAGAAATTACGCCTGCAACGCATTCATTAAATAACAAAGATACTCCGCAAAATGTTTGTGACTCCGATAGCATATCTTCACACGAGACGAATACTTCGGAAAAAGTAGATAATGAATGTAAACCAGTGGCTGCATCTCCACCCAGATTTTTTTTTGGACCTAATTGTATTTCATACACTTCAAGATCAGAAACATTCGAGCCACAATCTGATCATACTGTTTCAACAACTATAGAATCTAAATCAGACACACTACAGTATGAATGTGTTTCTTCTTCCAAACAAACAGAAGATATGATTACTTCGTATAAATCAGACAATTTTGGTGTAACCCAGATGAATAATAATTCTTTAAAAGTCAACTCGTATACACCCGAAACTAGTAATCCACTTCATGAAAATGATAATAAGAATAAAGTAGAAAAGATAGAAGGACCAACTAATACATGGGAACAAACAGTTTCTTCAAAATACCCTACACATGAACAACATTGTACAATGCAAAAAACAGAAAGAAATTTGCCTAATTCAGAATCAAAAGAAGAAAATTTCAAGCCTTGTGCTATTGATATTGTACAAGATTCTATTTCTAGTAGTGAAAACACAACAAACGAATACATTAAACCTGAAAAAACACAAATGTTGGATGTAACTTCACAACCTCACAGTACGAATGACTTGAATAAAGAAAATATGGATATAAAACCGGAAAATGTAATAGTAACACCATCCACAACGCAATATAACTCGGCTACCGAGTTAATGGAACATGAAATGTCGAAACCAGGGTACAATAGTACATCAGAAGTGCAACTACAAAGTAAAAAATGCGATCTGCAAAGCAATATTGATAAAGCTATAGAGATACCAAGTCTTTGTTCTGAAGATGAAGGTGATTGTAAACCATCTGATACATTGACACTCAAAGAAAATGAATTAGAAACAGATTCAATGTCTGCTAATAATTCGTGTTCATCATCTTTTACTCAGAGTCCAGAGTTAAAAACACAGCATGAGAATAATTTTGCCGAATCAGATTCTGCAAGTAGGGTAGAATTTTCTATCTATCAAGAAGTGGATAGTTCGGCAGGAAAAGAGATAAAACATGTTTCGGAAAAAGAATCTGATTCGTCTGTTGAAAGTCATAAACGAAATGACAAAAATGATAATATCCCAGAATTTCATAATCAAGAAAAGCGATTAATAAGTCCTGATAATGAGAACATGAAAAGCCTAATTGGTTCTAATACACATTCGGTACATAGTTACAATAAAGATAGTAAAAAAATCGAAATTTCACAACAGAATGAAATTTCAGGAGATTCTGAAGAAACGAAAGAAGAAACGTTCGTTGATTCGTTTATCAAAAGCTCTGTGCCTGATATTAATACTGAATTAGGTTTCACAGACAACTCTACTGTTACTAGTTCAGAATCAGTTGAACAATGTAACAAAGATGCACTAGTTCCTACAATAAGTAGCTCAGATGATGCTGGCACTCATGATGCTTCAATTCATGAAAGTGTTAAAGTGCAACCAGATTCTGAGAAGTCGTCCTTTAAAGATGAATGTCCTATTTACAATGTATTACCAGAGACAGTACCTGACGCAAATAATTTTAAACCATCCAAATCTGATGCAGTTGAAGTTAAAAAAGAAATGAATATATCTAATATAGTTCAAACTGCAACATTAGAAGACCGAAGTTCCTGTGTTGATCAAGATTTGAATAAGGATATGATTATTGATGATAAATTAATGAAATCTGATGAACCTTTAAATTTAAATGAAGAAAAAGCATGTTCTAATGAAAACTTATCACGTATGGAAGATATACATGATGTTTCATTTGAATTATGTTCATCTTCTGATGAAACAAATAAATTTGGTGCTGTTCCTGAAAAAGAAATAATGGAGGACATTAATTTTGTAGACATTCAACAAAAATCAATTTCAGAAGATGATAAAAAAATTGAGCAGGACAAAAATGATAATATGGATCAAAACAAAGATGCTATGAAACAAAGTGAAAAGAGTAACGAAGAATATGAAGAGCAAACCTCTACAAGTAATATTGTAGAAGACACAAATAATAAACAGCAAGAAAATGTTCTTGAAAAACTAGAAATAGAGGAATTAAAATTGAATCAAATGAATACAAATTCTGTAAATTCACAGGAGCCAAGCAAAATTAAACAATCTTTAGTTGCAAATTATGAGAGCAGTGATTCTAATGATGGTAGTGATGATGTTTTTGAGACTACTCCAACAGGGTCAATTGAAAATAAAGATAATTTGTTTACTAATTTAGAAGAAACAATGACTAGTAATAATGATACAGAAAGTATTGAAGAACAACCTATGAATGATGAGGTACTATCTAATGAATTACAGAATACAGTCATTAATAATCAACAAATAGAATCAACATCAGAAAACAATATTGAAAAAGAAGTAAGGGAACAAGCTGAATATAAACAAGAGAAAGTAATTAAGGAAGATGTAAGTGAAGAAGGGCGTAATTGCACTGTTATTCCATATGATATAAATAAAAAATCAATTACAAATGAAAACAAAAATATTCATAGCTCTGAGGAAAGTGGTATTACAAAATTAATAAAAGCAGAGGTATGTTCAGTTTCTTCTGAAACTGATTCAATGAACAAAAACAGTATAAACTCACCATTAACCAAAACAAATAATTTAATAAATCAGATAAGTCAAATAGAAAATAATGGTTTAGTTCAAGTTACAGAAAAAGTAATGAATGCACTTTCTGAACAAAGAGATGATTCTCAAACAGTGTATTCTATACAAAACGAAATTGAAACTCATAAACAAACAAAAGAAGACATTGAATTTAATGATATTAATAATGAAATAACATGCAAAAATTTAAAAGAACAGTCTTTGAAACCTCTGGAAGAGAAATTAATGACAAGTTTAGATAATGATATCAAGTTTATTAAAGCTGAAGGTATAGAACGTGTCGCGGAAGAACTTCCGATTATGGAGTCATACAATAAATTAAAGGAATTTTCAGAATTCAGTGACAAAGGAAATAAATTTGATATGCATTTACATGGAGAAAGTAATTTAAATAAAGATTTGTCTGATGGAGGTGATACAAACATTCACCCTGTACGAAATATTTTACCACTTGATAAATTTGACAATATATCCTCAGGTGTAGATAAATCAGAAATATATAAAAATAATATTTCAACTATGCCAAAAGATATTAAATCTATGGATAATTCACAATTTGTAAATTTTATATCTGATAAATCAGAAAATTTGGATATTATGGATAATCATGAGAAGCAAAATGAATCACTTCATATTATAAGTAAAGCAATAGAGTCCCTTCCTGAAAACTCAGTCTCAAATTTAAATGATAGTTCAGCGATTTTTAATGCACAAGAAACGGCATCGAAATCAACGACTGTAATAAACGATTTTAAAAAGGAAGCTAGTAAAAGATTAAGCGATGTTTCTGATATTCAAGATGTTCCTCCATTAAAATCTAAACCACCGTATGTAGAGTCCAATGAACAAATATTAGAGGATTTAACAATTTCCAAAGTGCAATTGGATCAAAATTTGGATAGTTTTAAACAAGTAGAAATGCCGATCTGCGAAGCTAAAATAAGTGAGGATATAGTATCCGATAGTACCATAGAACAGTTAGCAAAAAACGAATACAACATGATGGCTAATACAACAGATAACACACTGAATGAAGTTGAACAAAAGCATAATGTTGGAAGTGATGAGAAAAACGAAAACTCAGAAATTCAAAGTGTCGAGGTGAAAGCAATCTCTATAGCATCTGACGATTCTATGGGAGTAGACAACGAAAATTTATTCAGTACAGCTCCTGAAGAAATGGATCCTTTAGCGTGTACTGATGACGATACATTGAAAAAATTAGGTGATAATGAGCCGGCTGATAACTCTGCGCCAAAAATAGGTTTACGTGTTAAACCCGTGTCTGAACTTACTTACGATGGATGGAAATTAGATTCCACCGTATCTTCTAAAGTGTCCCGCAAGCGACGTAACAGTTCCCATGAATCGAACTCGGAAGATATGAGCGCGAAACAAGACGACGAAGAAATGATGGGAGGTAAAAGAATAAAATTACGGTCAAAACGTATGCCTGATAGGCAATTACGAAAGTCTGTGGAGGAAAGTCGCGTTGTAACAATAAGTTCTGACGACGAGGCTGTGAAGTGTAATCGTGAAAAATTGGAAGATCAAGACGTTAAGGATGTCAGCGATGACCAAAGCGCTACTCATTCAGTCGCAATTGAAAGAAAAGGAAGAGGACGTCCGAGAGGAAGATGGAGACGTGGTTATAGAGGAAGCTGGCGTTCAACTCGACCAAAGCATTCTGAGATTCGGAGCAGTCAAACATCAGAGATATCACCCGATGTTCATCTTGATGAAACACCAAGTAATAACGAATCTTTGAACATGACACCGATTTCACAGAAGAAACGAAAGAAAAGTAAATTCTTATTGGATTTTTAAATACTTCAAGGAGACAGTAATGTAATCTAATGTGTAATAAAATATTGTTCACAGGGAAAATGGTTTTGGGTCTAGAAATAGGAAGGGATATTGTTCCCGAAATACAGGCAGGATTGGCCCAAGATGAAACACCTGTAAGACAATCTAGAAGAATCGCGCAATTGAAGATTAAAGAAGAAGCGGATAGACGAAGAATTGAAGAAGAAACTTCGAATGAAAGGAAAGACAAGAAAGATTGTACGGAAAAGAAGAAGCGGAAGAAACAAAAAGTACATTTCTATTTTATGTAAACCTTTAGTTAATATTTATATATTGCATAACTACTGTATTTTTTTCAGCCTGAAAGCGAAGAAGAAATCGTAATTAAAGAAACAGAGAAAGAAAAGAAATCTAAGAAAAAACGTAGGAAAAGGAAAAAGAAAAAAATGCTGGCTAAATTCAATGAAGCAAATCCATGGCAAAGTTCTTCAGGTTCTAGTAGTGACGATGAAAATGAAAACGACGAAGATGAAGATGAAGAAGAAGAAATTGAGAGCGAAGGATCTTTGCTTTTTAAAAGCGACCACGAATTTTCGCCGGAAAGTGATCTTGAAAAGGATCAAGAATCTGAACCATTAAGAAGAGCAAGAACTGCACAAAAAGGTATTGCATTAAAAATTGAGTCATGTAGAAATGCATTTTAACTTTTGTTTAATTGTAGCTCAAAGCGATGTAGAAGAAGCAGATGATGAATATGCTTGTCAAAAATGTAGCAAAGCAGATCATCCAGAATGGATACTTCTATGCGATTCCTGTGACAAAGGTTGGCATTGTTCTTGTCTTAGACCTGCCCTTATGTTAATACCAGAAGGTGATTGGTTTTGTCCTCCATGTCAGCATGTAAGTTTTTAGCTTTAAAATTAAAATACTATTTGAATAAAGTATTTTATTTATATTCATTTGTCACTAATAAATATTTAATTTTAGAACTTGCTGGTAACTAAATTACGAGAAAGCTTAAAAACATACGACCAATTAACGAAAAGGCACGAAAATGAGGTTTTAAGAAAAAAACGACTAGCATTTGTTGGCATAAGTTTAGATAATGTTCTCCATAAAAATGAAGCACAACGTCATCAAAAAGGATCAAAGACGTCTAGCCAAGAGTCTGACAATGGTAATTTTTATTTTTCGTATAATACTTCTTTATATTGTTCGCTTTCTTATTATATATCAATTGTTATTTGTATATTCTTTATAGAGTCCTCATCTGCTTCATCTTCCTCAAGTTCAGAAACGTCTAGCAGTGAGGAAAGCGAACCTGTGTATCAGTTACGTGAAAGACGATGTGCAAACAGATATAAATTTAATGATTATGATGCAATGATCAATGCTGCAATTCAAGACGAGGTAGAAGCTGTTCAGGGAGCCGGCAATCAAGGAAGAGGAAAAGATATTGCAACTATAGTAAACGCGGAAAAAGAGGAAGCACAGGTAAAATTATTCCCGTATGTTTATATTTAACTTCAAGTTGCTCATGTTTTAAATTGTTTAATAAAAATTTGCGTTTAGCTTCATTTTAAGGACGAAGTACTAAATATGGAAGAAACTCCAGAGAACAAAGATGATATTGACAGAAAATCTGAGAAAGACAGCGATGAAGAATATAAAATGGAAGGAGAAGACGGTATGGACGAAGAAGAAGAAGAACATAAAGGAGTAGTGAAGAAACTTTTGTCGCGTAAGAAACATCGTAAATTGAATAGTCTTGACATAAGCAGCGAAGATGATCCGGAAAGTGACGAAGACTTCAAAGGCACAAGTTCTGATGATGAGGAAGATTTCGACGATCACATGACATCTTCCGATGAGAGCACTTTTGCTGATGTAAAACGTCGAGGCAAAAAGGGAGATTCACGATCAGTACGAAGAAGCACTAGAGCCAGAACTACTCGTTATGACGAAGATTTTAGTGAGTATAATACATAAATTCTTCAACTTTCAATGTGATAGATAAGATCAGAAAAATTTTAATAATAAATGTTTCACAGTAAATGATGACAGTGAAGAAAGTGATAGACCAAAGAGAAAAAAGTCTCGATCTACATGGGACTCAGACAACGAAGACAGTGATAACTCATGGCGACAAAGGAAGAAAAAGTAAGATATTGCTATTTCTACGTAATTAAGTTAAGTTAGTTTACATATATTATCATCTTGAAATTTTGTTTTAGAAGTAGAACTATACCAACATCGAGGTATAAACCATTACCAAAAACGAAGAGCAGAAAGAAAAAAAAGAGAAAACGTATAATTGAATCAGATAATCAAAGCGAGAACGATGAATCGAACGAGGAACCACGAATTGAAACGTCATGTGAAATGCAACCACAATTGGGAAACAGCGAATCTGCAATGCCCGATGCATTAGATATGAAGCTTGAGAATATAAATGAAAATAACGAAGACAAAAATGTTGGTGAAATAAAAGACATGAAATTGCAAGAAATAAACCCGGAAATGTCTGATATACCTGCCGTTCTACCATTAGAAGAGATCACACAACAAAAGAAAAAGAAAGTAGGTTTGCGCTTATCCTTTGTTTAAAATACTCAAATTTTTTAATTTTATAATTTTGTTTCTTCTTATATTATTACAGGAAAATGCAGTGAAAACAAAGAAAACTCCAACAATTAGGAGAAAAGTATGTGAACCTTATCTTGTTTATTAATCGATTGTATTTGAGAATTTTGAATTTATAAATTTAATTACATTTTCAGATTATATACGGTGGTCTTCCAGATGAGAATAAACCGGAAGAGGAAGAAATCTTAAGCAGACGAACTCGCGGTAGAAAAATTAACTATCAAGAAGAAATAGCATCAGATAGCGAAGAGGTAAGTTATACAATATGAAATATAGAGGCGTAATGATAACAAATATTTCGTATAATATTACAGGAGTTAAAAAAGGCATTAAGAAGAACAGGAGAAAGCGAAGATGAGTTTGTTGTAAACGAAGGTGAAGATTTGAACGAAGATGCTGAAAAAGATTCAGATTCAGGTAATTTGACAAAAACGTATTAAACGTAGTCGTGTTAATATCACGAACTAACATATGATATCACCTTATAGGCGATATTTATAATCCAAAAAAAGATGGCCATAAATTTAAGAATAAATCGCCAAAGAATAGAAAACCCAGGAAAAGCAAAAGTCCCAGTGGTAAACGAAGAATGTTAAACGATGGAACGCCGAAACAGAGAAAAAAGCCTGGTCCAAAACCTGGAAGTAAAAACCGGTCACGTAAACAAAGCTTTCTACTTGGTTCTGTAATTCAAAGAAGAGACGACCAAGATGGCGAAAAGGATATTATGGTGAATGTCATGGACAATCCTATAGGAGAGATAGACTCGAAAATTGATGACAATCTTTCGGAAAATGTAGGATTGAGTGGTACGGCTATGTCGGTAGCGGGTTCGTTTACTGGAGATGTTCCCGAAGGTTCCCTAACGGGTCTTGGAGCCGGTGAATTAGCCGAATTGGATGACGAACAATTAGAACAAATGATGATGGAAGATGAAGAATATGGCAGACGTCAGTTAGAGCTTGCAGCTATCGAAATAGCGAAGAAAAAGAAAAAAGAAGATCGAGAAGCAAAGAAGCTGGAGAAAGCACGGTTAAAAGCGTTAGAAATATTGGCAGCTGAGAGACAACGGGATCCTAACGCGCCGGATGGAACTGACGGAGACGTACCAAAGAAGAAGAAAAGAGGTCGCCGTAGTAAAGCAGAAATTCTTGCAGAACAAATGCGCAGGGATGGAGCTCCAAATCTGAACGCTAGTAGTTTGTCTGTCAGCTTGTCACAAAGCAATATGTCATCTAGCATTAATCCTAACATGTCCGCAGTTATGACACCTGATGCGGAAAGAACAAGCGAAGGACACATTCCTATGATGACAGGACCAGACGGGCATCTTTTTAACCTCGACGGATCACCCATGAAACCCAAAAGAAGAGGCCGTGGAAAAGGTAAAAAGACTCTTGCATTGGAGGCAGCTAGAGCCGCAGAGGCAGCAGCAAAAGCTGCCGCTGAGGCTGGTTTGCTAGGAATTGGCACTGATTCGAATTCAGAGATAAAACCTGGTGAAATCCCAAATGTACTTCCCACACCAGGCAGTAGCACCTCTGGTTCGGCTCCGTCCACACCACCTGCTGGTGTCGTTACAACACAAGGACCACCTTCCTCGCAGACACCGACGTCACAGTCTGTTTATCCAACGTTGCCGCCTAACCAACAGTCTTCCGTCATCACCAGGATGCTTCAATCTCAACCCGTCTCAAGTAGTCCACAATCGTTCTCTGTTGCGGCTGCAGCAATGGGACACAAATACTTCGGTGGACCTAACGCTGGAGGTCAAATGATCGGCGGGCCTAGGACGGGTTACGAAATGCAACCTCGTGGAAGAATTCCCTCTCCGTATAGACAAGCTGGACAATCCTCTATGCCACCACACTTTGCGGCTGTAAGATCAGGAACTCCACCTATGAGAATGAGAGTACCTGGTTCGCAAATGTATCACACACCACATCATCCCATGGATCCCTCTCCGTCAGGTGGTGGACCGATATCGATTAATAATCGAGATCGTAGTTCTCCACTCGGGCCTGGGCCCGCGATGATTCCGCCAGCTGCCGGAAGTCCTCTAGCCAAAGGTGGTCCTACGCCTCCTCCTCCTCCTCCATACGTCAGAGGAGCACCTCCCATGTCCAGGTTTGCAGACAATCCAATGGGTCCTAGGCATCAAATGCCACCTTTTACGAATGCATCACCGGTCAGTCATAATATGCAACAACCATCACCGCCCCCTAATCGACCACCCGGTAATTTTTCACCGTATCATCCTCCACCTCCCCCCAATTATCACTATGGTGCCTACCCACCTCCTCCGCCTATGTCGACGGCAGATGACGCAGCCGCATATCAAGGCTCTCCGTATCCCGCGGATCACTTTTCATCCCCTGCGGATAATCAACCACCCATTCAAGCACCACCACCACCTCAACCTCCACCTCAACAGCAGGCACATCCGAACGATGCTGGTGCTGGTAATAAACAATACGACGAAGAAGGTTCCGGAGAATTTGGTGGTTTAGTATCATACTTCAGTAGCCAGAGAGAGGACGATCTTGATTCGTAGCATGAGTGAGATCTTGGCCAACCCTGAATCGTTATATAGGAGATGCATTAGGCAATGGTGTTTTAACGGCCCAGGTAAGATCGCAACTTTTGCTCGAGAGGGACAAGTACAAGAGAAACATAAAAGAAGTTAGTAACGTGTAATGTAATCGTAAATAAAAGTAGATATAT